TTTAGCGGGTTCTCTGCCCCTAGCTTCCATTCTGCACCCCTGGTGGAAGCCTTGGCCCTACCTCAGACTCTGCCCCTTAATAAAATGACTGGTGGTATAGCCTCTCTATCGCCTGCCGCTGCTGAAGCGCACGCTCTCACTATATATGAGAGAGTAAAAGAGAGGATTCAGACTCAGACAATAATAAACGCACGATACATAATCAAGAAAAGGAAACTTTTCTAAAGCTCTATAACCTCTCGTTGATAGATACTAACGTCTCTATATCGATCCACAAGACTCTATTAAGCCTGCTCGTGACTTGTAAGACCCTTAGAACCTAGAGCTTTGATACCAACTTGTCATGATCCAAATCTCACCAAAGACCGTGATGGAGCCTAACCCGCTCGCTAAGCAAGCTAACACTCAACAACAATAGAATTCAATTACTAAGTTATTAACTGATTCATGATATAAATAGCAAGGCGGAATAAGTCATAACTTAATATAAAAAATACATGAATCCTAGACAGATTCTGAACACACCACAACTGTCTTACAAACTCTTCCAAATCCTGGTATCACATCATCATTACGAGCATCTAACAAGAGTATATAAGCTCAAGTGAATATTACATTTATCCAAAAATGAAATACATACATAGATATAAATGAGTAGGGAAGAGGAACTCTGTGTGCTGCGGATTGGATCAAGACATCTCACCACGAAGTCTCCAAATAAACACTCCTACTCAGTTCAAATAGTATTGCTAACACCAGCCTCAGAACCTGCACAACAATATGTGAAATTATAGTATGAGTACAAAACTAAGGTACACCGTAAGTATCAAGTCTAGCCTCGAAGAAGTAGTAGCAAGGGGTCAATATTGACACTTACTAACAACTCAATAAACATGTGAAACATAATTAGAGCATAGAGTAAAACATGATAGCATAAATCAAGTCCACCAGTAGGAACACAATAAATCTGAAATTTAGCATGCTTTTTAGACAAGAAATAGGATACAGTATCATTTATCTCAATTTTTTCATAAACATATTGTGAATTAGTCAATATTCATACATATACAAGAGCCACTACATGAGACTAGATTACCAATGCATGATCATAATGCAATACCAAACCTTACTGTACAATCGATATATCTGACATTGGCCAAGTATCAAAAACTAGCATCAATCTGGATGCCTGCACTCACAGGGCTCAAGGTAGCATGGGTAATCACCTGACTCCGGAAGGACCGATCCATACTCAAGAGTCGTTACGGTATACAACACGATCCACTAATAATACTATTGCAGTGTGCAACCCGATTCACTCATAATATCATTGCAACGTGCAATCCGATTCACTCATAATACAGTTACAGTGTGCAACTCGTGCCAACCACAATATGATCAAAAATCAATATTCGCTCACAATATCCTTGGTGATAAAATTCTCAACTTTTTATAATATCTAACTCTCCAACTCATGAATATATGTATGAAATAATTTAATTAAGAGGCAAAGGATCATAACAATAGAAATGCGAATAAGAATCCATATAGCTAAAAGATGGCTATGCCAAATCATGTATTTAAAATTATTTGAATAATTCAATAAGAAATTTCACACTCAGCAGTCTTTTTATAATATTTAACATGAATAGTTTAAGCCATGTAACCACCAAATCATAAAGCAATTAGGACAAATATATGACTACGGCTTAACAAGGAAGCTCAATATGGCAAAATAATTATTTATGCCCAAATTCAATAAGGCATAACCTTAAGCATGCTTATAAGCTACAATAACGAATTATCACGTAGTCATAGAGTCAATGAAACATAGATAATAGGTTCACGTAGTCCAAACAAGGTATAATCATAAACTAAACTCTGTCGGATATGGTCATCACCTAACTATGTATATACGCTCGTAACCTCACATATAGGTAGCTCCTAAATCAAGCAACATGTAGCAAATAGATTACCTACAGAGAGAATTTTCTCTTACAATGATAGACAAGAGACTTACCTCCACCCGGTACTTCAACCTTTCAAAATAGCTTTTCCTCTCAAATCAACATTCAAACTACTCGAATCTAGTCAAATACAACTCAATAACGTCAAACAAAGCTATAGGAATTAATTTCAAATAATAAAACTTTAATTTTTAATTAAATTCCTAAAAGTCAACAAAATTCAACCTGAACCCACATTGTCAAAACCTGAGTCAAGGGGTATATCCCGACAACTATAATCTCACGAGTCTAAATATGTGATTAGATTCCAAAACCACATTAACTTTGATCCTCAAATCTCCAAATTACACTCTCTTAAATTGCAGACAAAATCCCCAAATTTCTCTTCAAAATTCCATGATTAAAATGTATAAATCCGTGGGAAAATAAGATATATAATCAAAATCAAGTAGAAATCACTTACCCTCAAAGTAGTAGTTAAAATTCCTTTCAAAATCACCTCTTCCCGAGCTCCAAAACTCAAAATAGTAAAATATGAGTTAATCCCCAAAATATAACAATGTTGTGAGGTATTTAGCATCTGCGGCCCATAATCCCGCTTCTGCGACATCACTTCTATGATCGCATGCTCGCTTTTGCGAAACTCCAACCCCTAGACCAACCTTTTATCTGTAGTCCATCTACCGCATGTGCGACAGACACCTCCACAGGTGCGGCTCTACTTGCCCAACCAATCTTCATAGATACGCCAATATCTCCGCAAATGTGATCCTCGGAGGTGCGCTAGAAGCATCGCTTCTGGGACCTCACACCTACGCAATAAACACTGCATGTGCGACACACCAGCACCAGTAACACCAAAACATCCTAAAATGGTTTGACGCCATTTTGAAATACATTCGAGTCCCTTAGACCCCTCCCCCCCTCCCCCCGGTCCAATCATACCAACAAGCCCTAATACCTTCCAAACTTATCAAAATTCTCAAAACACCACAAATTATATAGAAACCAAAAATCAAAATCCTTCTCTTAACTTTCAAAATTTCCAACTTCGTCAAACACGTACAAATCATGCCTAAATATTCCGGTTTCAACCAAACTTTACAGACAAGTTTCATTCAACTAAATGAACCTATCAAAAGTCCCGGAATACCAATCAAAATCTGATAACATCAAAGTCAACTATCGATCAAACCTACAAATCTCCAATTCTTTAAATTGCCACTTTTTTGATAATAGGGCCAAAATCTTCTAGGAACCTTCAAATCCAAATATACGCCCCAGTCCAAATTCACCATACGAACCTATTGGTACCATCAAATCATTAATCTGAGATCGTTTACTTAAAAGTCAAACATTAGTCAACTCTAACAACTTAAGTTTTCCAAAATGTAACTAAATATTCCAATTCACTCTCAAACCTTCCCGGAACCAAATCAACCATCCGCGCAAGTCACAAAATAACAAACAAATATACGAGAAGCATCAAATAAGAAAATGAATCTCAAATACACAAAATGACCGATCAGATCGTTACAAGTAGCTTCCCCTCCATAGAAAAATATTTATTTGAAAAAATAACTACTAAATGAGAAAGAAAAAGGAAAGGAAAAAATTATATATAAAAAGAAAAAAAGGGTTACGAGAAGTGATTCACGCGCTCAATATCAACTGAAAATCAGTTCTTATGCCACCTCAACATAAGGTGTGAGGCACACTTTGTATGAAGTTGGAATGTCTTATGGGAACAAGCCTTAATTTAAGTGTCACAATAAAAAATTAGCGACAACTTTAAGAGGTTGCTCATGTATTTAACTTAAATTGATTCATAAGGTCGATGTCTCTAAAAGCTAAAAGCGCAAAAAGAGCGTTATGGTTCAAAAAAACGAGAAGTGAACCAATTTTAAGTAAATCACACAACAAAAGACATTAAAAAACTATCAAACATATATGAATTTAGTACTATAATAATCAAATAACAATTAAAATAATTTCAGTATCCAATATGCAATAATGTCAATATTAATCCAATTTATTTTTAATTTTGGTTGGTCAATATTAGTCCAACTTCTTAAAATTGAATTAAAAAAATTGACTTTCCCTTGTGTTCACCTTTCGCTTAAAAGCACATGACTTCACCCAATGAAGTGATAAGCTATCGCTTCGCATTGTTTCATCGCTTTAAAAATAACATTACATGAGATAAAAATAAAAAGGGAGCATGAATTACTGTGAACCAAAAAAATTGTATCTGATATTTTCAAGTTATATCAAATTAAGGGACAAAAATCTTACAGCATACCACTTGAAAAAGAAAAACTCCCTCAAAGTCATCAGATTCCAGAGGGATCAAAATGCTTTTAGTTTTCTTCACAAATCTTAGGCGAAGTTTCTTTAGCTTTCTCCTCTTTAAAGCCATTTTCTCAACAGTGTCTCCCGCTTCTTCTCCTTCTTCACAGCTGCATCTTTCTTCTTTGACAATCTACGATGCACGATCCATTGTCCTCAGCTTACCGTATAAATGGAACCAGCTTTCACATAATATTTTCAAGAATCCATAATAGGCCTTCTCCCAAGATCCTGCAGATTTCGGGTGTGTTTGGTATGAAGAAAATGATTTTCAATTTTTCCAATTGTTTTCTTTAGGAAAAGGAAGTTCCTTAAAAATCAGGAAACAAATTCCGTAAGTGATTCTACACTGAGGTAGCATAACTATAGAGTCACTCTTTATACCACAATGAGCATATAACTCTGCAGAGGAACACTTTCATCTATATCTATATTTTAATACTCCAACAACCTATCATGTACGAGCCTGATTTATTTTGCATGCGAAAATACATGTCTCACAACGAGACTCAAATCCTATGTAAATTTTACGAGCACCTCAATTGGATTTTGAGAGTCTGCCGAATTGAATTACCCAGCAATTAGTCTAACGTCCCGCCAGCCCCTCATGAAACTAACAAATACCAATTATTCATTCTTTATTAAGAGAAATGATCAAGGACAAACAAAGAATGCTTCCTGGAATTGATCCGAGTCAAAACTCTGGTTAGAACAAAGCAATAAAGGATCAACCTATAAGCGGTTGAAGTTGAATCAGGTCATGTTAAGTTGAAAACTTGGAGATGAACCACACTCATAGTTATTATACATTGATGAAGCTCGAACAATCACAAATTTATAGCCATTTCATACCATCCCTTTTAAATTGGTCAATGAATAAACAGACTATTAAATCTGACACGTAAAATTACAACTTTGAACTCCCCCGCTTTCTTGAATCCGCATGCATTGACTAGGATGACATACAAGTGTATCCAAGCTTTTCTTTGGTATTCTGCAACACAAAGATGCAAACAGTTTGATGCTTGACAGCTTAACAACTACAGGGTTGCTGCTGTTTTCTTCCGCATCGTCCAGAAGGCTGCATAGTACCGATTCTGCAATGAAAAGACAAAAATGTTGGATAGATGTATAAAACTACCAAAGAACAAGCAAGGTTAAGTGCAAAAGAAAACAAAAACAGTAAATCTAGTATAAAGACAATGTAAATAAAAAGGTTCTGTAATAAAAAGTCGTAGTGAAGTTACTGAAAGTGACGATTTTATTGAACTTGCCACAAACTTTTAACAAAACCCCACATGCTCTGGCATAACAGGAGGATTTTTAAAGGAGAAGATGAAGACAAATTCAACAATAGAAAATGTTACAATCAAGGGTAAGATACAGTATTACACACTTGTACAGAATACATGGCTAATAATACCAAACCTGGTTTTGTTCAAGTCAAAATTGTTTTCATCGATACAAGAGGCTAGTTTGATTGTTATCTAAGAAATTCTGCCACTAAACCACTAGGGATCCAAATATATCAAGCATGGGTTTGAAACTATGAATTTGTCTAAACTTTGCGGAATATACTTACACTTTACATGCTGCAATTAGAGTTTAATTTACTGCAGTTCTGATATATAGCCTTCAAACTTTTCTCATTTGTAAAATCTCATTTCACCAGGAAATAATCAGTGATGACGGTCCTTGCAAGATATACTTGTAGACACTATATAAACCCCAACATGCTTGAGGGAATAATCAAACAATTCATTCTCAACATCTCTTCTTTTCTCATTATTTACATAAACGACACATCTAGCCGATCCTAACTGGTTTGGAATTGATGCTCAGTTGATTGATTGATTAATATAAGACAAATCTGTCAATTATTTTGTCCTTCAACCCTGCCCCCCAACCCCAAAAAAAAAAAANTACATAAACGACACATCTAGCCGATCCTAACTGGTTTGGAATTGATGCACAGTTGATTGATTGATTAATATAAGACAAATCTGTCAATTATTTTGTCCTTCAACCCTGCCCCCCCACCCCAAAAAAAAAAAAAATTGCAGCCAAACAACATATTGACTTCACAATAATAACCTGAACCACCATCATAATCCATCAAGGCCCATTAGGAGAGGGAGACGGCTGCTTTTAAAATGTAGGCAATACATAAACGGTCCCTTTAAGTTGTCCTCAATGACAAGATAGATACCTCAAGCAAACACCCGACCCGTTCAGCTCCTCGCGCGTAAGACACTCTCGGAGACGCACGTTGCCTACCCATCCCGAATAGGAATAAACAGTATTAATGTGTGTAATTCCGAATATACCCTTAATGAAATCTCTAATTTAAGCCCAAAACCCAAACCCTAGTTTTCACTTCATCCTTTATTTCTCCATCTTTCTTCGGCTAGTCGCACCCTTTCCCCTCCATTGTTGGTGACATTTCTTTCAATCGGAAAGAATTCTTCAGTTTTGGGTCATTGGACAAAGAATCTATTCCAAAACAAGAGCATAGATTCATCAAGTCTAGCATTCCCCTTATAATATTTGATTTTTTCTTCAGCTGGTAACTCAAAGAACCTGTAGCAAGCTTCCTTCAAATTCTCAAGAACTTCAAAAGGAATCCCATGATTAATTATTTGGAAGAAACCCACTTGTTGGCTGCTTCTTAAATCGATTTTGAGACATTTATATCATCCCAATTGGACAGATTATTGGTGGGGATTGATTCCTAATTATCAATTTACTGGCTATTGTCTAGTCTCTGATCTTCTGGCTGAATGCAGTATTTTAGGACTGGTGAATTTGAAAAAAAGGTGATGGGCAAAAGAAGATTTTTGGTTTAGGAAAAAGTTTTTTTTTCTTTAAATGTATTGTCCTTTTTTTGTTAATTATGTGTATCAAATTTTTATGGCGAAATTACATGTGTCATTTTTTAATTGGTTCATTTGACATGTCATTGGCAAGTGTAACTCACGCATATGATCTGCTGCACTTGGGTGCTTACTTGATCTAACTTAATAGCCACTTTAAGTGTCAAAATAGAAAAGGGCTCGGTTGAGGTGTCTATCTGATCGTTGCGGACAACTTAAAGAGGTTGTTTATGTATTTTGCCTAAAATGTATTCTAATTAAGGTATATGATGAGTCAAGAGAACTAATATTATGCATAATAATCTCAATCGCTACATTATTGTTGAAAGACGAGAATCACAAAAAATATCATGTAAAATACTCTTAATGATCATCTTACCATTATTAAGAATCCCAGGATTTAATATATTTCTAATTTCACGTAGCTTGAATCTCCCATATGAGCACACCTTACTGGTTTTTTTAATAGGTAGTCCTCTTGTACGTTGTTAATCACCAATTTTAATAAGAGTTTTTCTCCCTTCGTTTCTCTTCCCACACATCTATCTATAAACTGTTAATAAAGCAAACTACCATGGTATGGAGAAAATCGATCCAACTCATTATCCGTGTTTTGAGTCAAACATGAATTTCCCATTCTTGATAAAGAATATTAGATTCAACAAACTAAATATTTCAAGACGAGAACCTATTTGCTTCATCTTTATTACAGATGGTCAAAACTACAAAGACTTACTTGCATCATTGACCGTGAGTTTGTTGTGTATGTTGTCTCGATAGTTGATTCTTTCTGCAATAGAAAATGAAGAGCTCAATCCTAACAAAAATATGATGCAAGCCATGCAAACGTTCAGAAAAAGCTGAGACTACCTCAAAGATAAATCCATACTGAAGAGCAACCCTTTTCACATCCTCCAAGCTCAGTTCGATCGACATTTCCTGGATATTTTGGGGGTGGGGGGAGAAGTAGCAGAAAAACAAGCATATCATCCATATTTAAATATAAAACATACAGCCATTTGTTTGATTTTGTGGACAGAGAGCTTACATCTTCATGACTATACATATCTGCAAAATGATAAAGCAAGGGCCCCAGGTTTATCCAGACCTGTAAGTCAGGCGGATCATGCATCAAAAGAAATACATCAGAAATGGACAAACAAATGATCAAAAAAATTGAAAAACATGTTGAGCTAAATTACTTACTCCACCATCTTTCAGGACTTCTGATATTATCTCAATATACTCAACAATGTTATGGGCAGTGTCTAGGAAGAAACAAGTGACAACTGCATCCCAAACTCCTGCACATAATTAATCTGATAAGAACAGCTTCCCTTATAAATGTTACCCAGTTAATGAATTATAATGACTAAAACATATCTATAAAGAACACATCATGCAAGAGAATAGCAAATTATGTTTGAACCCATCGTCGTCCCACCACCACCACACACACACACAACCCACAACCCCCCCCCCCCCCCCCCCCCCCCACACCCCCAAAAAAAAACACAACCAAGAAAAGAACCAAATAGATAATGACAATTTTACTAGATAAATGAGTTTATGGTGATCAATCAAAGAAAATGCATGCTACAAAAGAAGCAAAAGGCAGAGATTTTCACCAAGTACAAGAACATAGTTGATGCTCCGATTGTTAATACTTTACTACATTCCTAATTTCTTTTTTTGCACTGGAATGTTACCACTTTCTAACTTCTACAAATGGTGACATTAATGGAGCAATTCTTCTACAATATCCCAACATCTGGACAATCCCCTATTAGCTGAAGCTCCTTTTAGATTATTTTCACGAACTGATTATAGTTAGCATAAGACAAAAGGTCATGAAACAATCAACATGAATAGTGGTTCTAATGAGCTGATATATGAGCACGAAACTTAACTCTGGGGCCAAGATGCATGTATATGTATAAATTGCAGCTCTCATTTCCACAAGGTATAGATGAAATGTCGAAATGCATTTTCCTCGTATGAGCTAAAATATAACCTAGGTCAGTATAAAGAGCATTATCTTGTGTCTAAATCCTGTGGAGTGAAAAGATTAGATGGAATATATTAAGGTCCTGAAGCTAATATGTACATATTTGTATATATTTCTACATGAAACATCACACAGAAATAACCCACAAATAAGATAATCAGTTGACTAAATTTGAAGTAGCATAAATTGAAATAAGATAAGTGGGAGCCACAGGATTGGAGGATTCCTCTCTAATTTACTATCTCATCAGGCGAAGGAGATACTACAAGCTACCATACCTGCTTGGCTTGGATCACTATAAACCTCGACAAAATCACCACCGCACATGGAAAAGCCTTCAGTAATTCCTGCACTGTTTCCAAAGGAATCGATCAGAACTAGACCATTTTTTGTGTGTGTAAATATTACGAATCATTGAGTGAATTGCAGGACTCCTCAAAAATAAGAGGTCGCATTCATACAAAGATGTCACGCATAACACAGACTACTTCCCCTCACACAGCATAGTTTAACTTGCTGCACCTAGCAAACTAGCATTATATACAAAAGAAAATTACTGTTTATGAAAGACAGCAAAATATATATATATATATATAAGGGTCAAATTTACCCCTCTACTTTCGAAAATAGTTTGCATATATCCTCCGTTATACCATATGTCCAAAAACAACCCTAACAAAGCTGTATACAATGCCCCTAAGCTTAACGGCTGTCCCTCACCTAGATCTTAAAATGACACATGGACGCCCTGTGTGTACATATATTTTCTATTTTTTGTTAGGATATATATATATAGTGAGCATTATATGTAAACAAAAACAGCACAAAGATTATGCATAGGGTTACATCATCCATTCTCAATATTATATTTTATGCTCTGTTTGTGAGTGATGCCTAGTAGCACTAGTTATTGCTATATTTATGCTCTGTCATTAAACAACTTAAATGAGATGTCACTCTGGACCATCTTCCTGGATGGAAAAAAAACACATCTTAAAATCGGTCACCACCTCAGAGACCAAAAGTTTATCTTTGCAATATTCCTGACAGATGAGAAGCTAAAATAGCCCATAAATCCACCAATGAAGACTAAATCAACTTGCGGCAAGCAGGGTGGTCGAGAGAGGAAATGTAAACAAAAGCAGAAACTTTAACATAAATACGTGTTTATGGGACTGGGAACTAGACAACCTTTAGAGAAGATACCCTGCAAGACAGACCACTAAAAACAGTTTCAGAAGTTGGCCTCCATCATCCAGCCACATTCACAAATCTAATAATATACCATTTTAGATAATTTAACAAGTTGACCCACAATGGTTACTCCAAATCTTCAAATTAAGCAAGAAGAAACATTTGATAAGCATGATATGCATGAGAGCAGTCGAACAAACAAGACACTATATACAAGTTGATGGATACCTAGCCGGATGAATATCTGGAACAGAGACAGGCCGAAGCTGGTCATTGTCTGACACCGAATTGCAATTGCTATGTATCCATGGAAAGATTGTCCATTCACCAGCAGCTTGGGCACTATACATGTAACAACGGTAGCAAGATCAGAACCACGGTCCACAATCTTTAAGGAAATGACTGACTTAAAAACTTACTGATTAAGAATAAAACTAGAGCAGATCATCATGTAGTATGAGAACTCGTTTCCCTGACACGCAAAACCTGTTTTCAAGGTTTAGTATTGGGTTAAGCAAGGATATTAACCAGATTAGGAAAGATTTCAATTCCAGAAGACACTAAACTCACCAAGACATGAAATCTCTAGAGCAAGTCTTCCAAGTCCAGCACCAGGAACCAAACAGGATGGAGGACTACTCAAGAATAACTAAAACTTTAGAATTTTCCATTTGACAACAGAAATAACAAATAGCATATTATTAAAGGCAATGGCAACTGCAAAAGGAAGTGACGCACTTTTCTTTGGATCGATTAGGAAATAGGCATTCAAGCTCTTCCAGAATGGGCCTATAACACTGATCACGTTCTTGTTGACCCTGTACAACAAAGATAATAAAGCATTGATTTCTTCATTTTCTTGTTTTCTTTCCCCCCTTTGCCCCTTTTCGGGCGTTCTTAGATAGTTTACTCATCAGTAAAGAAGAAACCAATAAAGAACCATGTCTACCTCCTTGGCCCAATCTCTTACAATGTTTCTGATGATACAACGAACCTGGACAAAAAATGAACAAACTATCAAAAAGCACAAAGATCTCATATGTACACCGACATAACAAAGAAAAAGACAATTTAGCTGAAACAATAAACAACAAGAACAACCTCGCTTCAATACCAAACTAGTTGGCGACAATATGAATCCTCTGTATCCATTCCACTCCGTTAGGGCTTCATTCCAATACATAATTTTAGTGGAAGTTATATAACATTTTTACAGTACATCTTGACATGAGAATGGAATTGCACCAACTTCCATTAATTCTTGCTTTTTTTAGGCATATTGGAATGGGAAAGACCAATTTGGGTACTGGAAACAGGAAATATTCCACATAACCAAAAAACAGGAAACTGTCATCCTGGACAGGTGCAACTTTACTGCATGAGAAAATCATGTTTAATAGCAGACTCTCCCTTATGCATTCTCTAGAATGGGTACTTAACATATTTCAAACAGCACTACCAAAAACAACGAGATACCTTATCCACATCAACCAATGGAACATGCAGCTGCAAAGATGGGTCCAACCAGTCAGGAGATGATGAAGAGACCTGAAACCGCAGATGGTAAGGAAACAAGTATGAGCAGATAAAATTAAGTAATTAACTACCTCCATGAGTAGGTAATCATTAGAAGAAAGCCAAAGGATATAGCTATAAAAGAGAGGGGAAAGAGGGATAATACAATTTCTTTCTCCTTTAGGCAGTTCATCATGTGCAATATGACAGAAAGGGACAATAATGGTACCTACTCTTTCCAATCAAATTACCAAACATCATTTCAGAAGTTTAAGAATCAATATATGTCTTATGGCATGGGTCTTTCCCCAAGACACTACTTAGACCAATTTATGTAATAGGTATAGAGTAACTAAGTAAGAATACTTGAAAAAAGACATTCCTCGTGGACTTCTAAAAGTATCTTGTTTTAAATGGTCATCATGCTCATGTGTGATGAACTTCTCGACTTGAAAGGATTTAGCACTATTATGTTGATACCTGTAGTCCGTCAGGGACAGAAAACTCCATTCACTACAATTAACTAGTGATCACCAAACAACCACCCTCTCACAATATAGAAAGGGGAATGGGTTGACCACTGTGATTAGATTTATAAGTTTTATCGCCCACCTGTTATTTTTTTTTATAAGGTCCCACCTGATCTTTTAATTCTCCTATTCAAACCCATATAACATATCTTTGAGTTCTTTTTTTTTTTTTGGGATAACCAATTAGTGGGAAAGATCTCCAAATGAAATTTCAAACTTCCTTAGAGGTGCTCAGGATGGTGGAATTGGAAATTTCAGGTAGATGCTTTACATTTCCGTTGCAACAAGCAGAAGCATATAATGGATCCCGGTCTGGAAGGCTCTTACAACCATCATCACCAATGTTATTAGCACTTTCATGATCCTCTAAACTGATGGAGCACTTCCCAGCATTGGATTTCTTTAAAATGTCAACGTCTTGCTCCTGTTGTCATCTACACAGGTCAAACTCCATAGTATAAACAAAATAAGAGAAACAAGGTAATCACCGGACATCAAAAACTTCCAACAACTGCACAGAAGTAAGGAGACCTCATTAACATTTGTTAGTGCTCGGAACTTTCTATAGCAGGTTTCTTCAGACATTGGTTCAGCCAAGCTGTGGCAATCTACTCCACCACTAGTTGACGTTGACTCACATAAGTAAGGATTCCTTGATTTAGAAGAGTGATGACTATCTGACGCAACATCTAGATGTTGGTTTTCACAAATATCAACATCCTGGCTCATATCGAGTGGGGGCTCAAACACCTACAAGATAACAAATGATAAATTGGACCTCAACTTATCGTATCGTACAACCAAACTGGTTCGTACTAGGTTAAGGACTATGAAATGGCAGAAAATTATGGTAACCCAATAGGAAGGCATGAACATATTAAAAAGAAGAAAAAAATTATAAATAGCCCATCATCACCTTCAGCATCTCAAATATGAAGTATGAATTTTGAGCGATACACCTGCACCACAAAAGGGATGATCGGTTTGGATCACAAAAAGACATTGCTAGAATCTATTTCAACCAATTCTTACATAGAAGACAAAATAATCCATGTTAGACCATAAAATAATATTATAATAAATACCTTATCAAAAATATTTAGAATAATATTGAGAACGGGATTTAGCTAAAATGCAAAGGGGTTCTTGGTGGCAATGCACTTTTAAATTACACATGGTTTTGTCCAAAATGGATGACTTGGTGGTTGAGGCATAGGCATAACAACATCCCAGGTTCAAGTTTCAACTATAACACGTAGTGTCAGTCCATCTACTTCGACTCTGGTGGGCAGGTTTACCCCACACTTGTGCTTGTGGGCTACAGCAGGTTGTCCGCTGGACTAGTAGGGTGAAATCAAATTAGTTCAGACACCGCTGTCATCAAGATGAAAAAGAAAATGCCCACATGGTTTCTGAGAGTATCATAAAACCGCTTTTCCATCAACAACCCCTAACATTTTTATGTAGGGCAGTGTTTTGGAGAGCGAGAAGCGAAAAAAAGCGAGGAGGCCTCGCTTCACCGAAGCGAGAAGCGTGAAGCGAAGGGCGCGCTTTTTTCATGTGAAGCGCAATATAACACATAAATAAATAAAAAATTAAATAGGCATAGATAAATGACCAAGAACTCAATAAAAATAACATATTAAGCAAATGTTTCAATTATAAATTAAGAAGTAAATAATAGATACTAAAACTAGATAGTCAATAATCCTCAAAAGTCATAACATATTAAGCAAATGCAAAACCAAATCACAAAAGGAACTGTTAAAACATGGCATAACAGTGAACAGCAGAAAACAGAGCAGTGAACAGTGAACAGCAGAAATTTAAAAAAAAAAACAGAGCACAAGCATAAATTAGAAAACAGGGGTGAACAGAGAAATAAGAACTGAAAAAAATAGAAAACAGGAAAAGAACAGAGGAGAGAAGTCGAACAATGAACAGTGAAGTGAGTGAACAGCAGAAATTAAAAAAAAACAGAGCACAAGCATAAATTAGAAAACAGGGGTGAACAGAGAAATAAGAACTGAAAAAAATAGAAAACAGGAAAAGAACAGAGGAGAGAAGTCGAACAATGAACAGTGAAGTGAGTGAACAGCAGAAATTAAAAAAAAACAGAGCACAAGCATAAAACAGGGCAGAACAGATAAATAAGAACTAAAAAAAATAGAAAAGAAGAAGAGAAAAGAGGAGAGGAGTCGAACAGTAAACAGTGAATCAGAGAAAATCAGAAGAGGAAGAGAAGAGAAGAAAGAACTGAAGGAGAAGAGGAGAAGAAGAGAAGAAGAGAAACTTACCTGAAGAGCAGAAGAGAAAAAGTCGAAGGTTGCAGTCGTCGCTTGCAGCAGAGAACCAGATGTTTGGAAGAAGTGTGTGCAGTTGTATTTGCAAATTCTTTTTAAGAAAACCCTAGGTAGCCGCTGGACCTCGCTTAAGCGAGCTTTTCTGCGCTTTTTTCATCGCCTCGCTTCTCGCTTTTTAGGGTGAAGCGTGCGTTTATTTACCAATGCCGCGCTTTAGGGCAGAAAGGCGCAGACCCCTCGCCTCGCTTCTGCGCTTTAAGCGAGAAGCGTGCACTTTTAATAACACTGATGTAGGGCAACAAACTTTGTGGCAACCTATCAGCCTCATGGCACTAATGTGCTCATAGTTTGTAATCAGATTGCTTGGCTCATGGTAAATGGGGTGGAAGAGTATAAAATTTAATAGGGCTTAACTTAATTGAGTCACATAATTAGAGTATATTGTCACATAACTAGAGTACGTTGTCACGTAATTCACTCTTACTATACTAAAACAAGAATGGTTCACAATATATACTTGTTCATTAGAAAGCACGGATCAGTATCTGGAATTTTCGGATCTGCTAATCATGTAATAAGGAGTTTTTTTACGTACTGCCTGTGCTGTTTGTACTGTTGCATACCTCCTTGGTACATTATTATTAATAATACTTTACCTTATCAAAAGAAAAAAATATCCTATTTTCATGTTGAGAGGAGAGGATTTACTAAAGAGAACCCCAATTAAAACTACGTAAACAGTAATACTGCCAAACTAAGTAAAACAAGGGAGAACACAAGTACCTTATCGTTCTAGGCTGATTTCAAGTAGAGTAAAGGTGACAGCTTTAGGAGTATATTGGGCTCTGATGCCCCAAGAAATACTGTTAATGATCAAGAGAAACGAAAACAACCATAGAGTTCTATCTAGCGATCGACTGTTACCTTTCTCGAAAAAAAGAAGTTCTATCTAGTGATGACATCCACTGTCCAATTTTCTTTTTATGAGAAAAAATAATATATCTAAAAGTAAATAAAGAATTTGAAAGAGGAGAAGATATCAAAAAGATAAGAAAGAACGAAAGCTCTTAAAAATGTTGCTTTGGAGGTCTGTTAATGCTATCCGAGAAAAGAGTCCTCCTACCTAATCACTGCCATTCCAGGATTACTTCCTTTCCCAAACTAAAGCTGGAAGCAAACTTTAATCCTGGAATACACTAGCAGTGCACTTTATTAGCAAATACACCACACCATTGTCCAACCTTAGTTTATCACAGGGATTTAACCATGAAGAACTTCAACCCAATTCAGGTTTCTATAGGCAACCACCTCAGTTTCTTCCTTTTTTTTGAAAGCATCCTCACCTTTTCAAAGTCCATCCTATCATTTAACTAGTTTTCAGCAAGTGTCTGGGAATTAAATAATTTCATTACTTTAACGATCAAAACTCAAAAGATAATTCCATTACTTCATCATATTCATCATTTTTTCTTCAATGGGTACCTAGTGGATCACATCAGCAGCTTATATTCCCGCTAATTAATCCACGGAGTGAAAGAGGATAAGGTTTCTCTGTAAGACATGCAAACTTACAGTTCTAGTTCTGCTCACATCATCAACAGCCATATGCAAGCGTATCTAGTCTCACAGCTAAACCCAGATTGGCAATGTTAGGTTAAACTTGATCACATTTTTTACAATAGCCACCAGCAGATTCTAAGAGTTAGACAAGTGCAATTTTTTTAAATGTTTTGAAGAAAATGGAATCAAATTCATCGCGCGTAAAGTTCCAACAAATCCTAATCAGCAGTATAGTCAGTTGAATAAATGTACCATCTTAGCTTCTGAAACTTCAAGGGAAGGTGAGATAGTAGAGCCTGCAGAGCACATAGCACGAGTCAGCTGAAGTGTAATGGCATATACAAAGAGATTTGAGGACATCAAGGACTAGCTACATAAACCATGTCAGCCATAAGAATGACAAAGCACGAAAAAGGGATAATTTTAAAATTGCAATGTCAAGTATCATGGAAAAAAAAAATCAATCAGGGATAAAGAATACCTTATGCCGTGGCGGTAGCTTTCTGAAAGATCTTTCCCATCTTTTCACATCCTCCTCTGCAGCTTCAGGATAACTGTAGGATATTCAGACAAATAATCAGAATATAGTTTTCAAATAATATTTTTTCCAAACCGAAAAGCTAATTTATTTTTTACGGAATGGTGGTGACCAGTTAAGCTTGCCCACGCCTAGACTATCCCACCTGGTACTTGCTAATTCTCATCCGCACAGATAACGGTAATGTACTCACCAAGGCGTAGGTAAATGAGATGAAATCAGCTATTCCAAGCTGAAAAGCTTTATTTTATCGTATTTATCTATGCCCAAATCAAATGCTACCAACAACAATAACAAACCCACTTTGATCCCATAAATGGGGTCTGGGGAGGGTAGTACCCTACCTCATAGAGATAGAGAGGTGGTTTCCGATAGACCCTCGGCTCAAGGAACAGTGAACCAAACCAAATGCTACCAAAAAAACAAAAAGTAGCACTCGAACTAAATGTAATCAAACAACTACACCTCAATCCCAAATTACTTAGATTCAACTATATGAATCCTCTGTATCCGCTTAGCTCTATTCAGGTCCATATCATTCCAATACTGAACAAGAAGATTAATTTATACTACAACAAGTTAAGGCACATAGGAAAAAGGAAAAAAATAATTGAAGTGTGGGTGCGCGCGCGCTTACTTTAGGTAGGCGCTGATGATACGGCGGAGGGATTTGACTTCTAGGGCTTCTTCAAGCTTCCTCCGCTCAAGTTCCTCCTCGATTTCCATGTTCAACATTGCCAGAGACGATGAACACTCTCTCCGAATTAAAGTGGTGCTCTTATTTTTCCTTCTTTTGTAGCAGCGGCAAAAAATGTCTTATATTTACATTTCCACCCCACCCAAATGGCAATATTTTACTATTCTTTTGAGGGGGAAAAGCCAAAGATGTCCACGAGTATAGCTCAAATATGTTAAGGCCTCGTTTGTTTGTAATTATTGGAGGTCTAAATCTTAATCATTCAGATCTAAAATATTAAGTGTATTTATTTTCAAAATTTAAATCTTAATCGTTAAGTGTTTTTTTTTTACTTCACAACCACTTAATGGGTCTGAATAGGTCTGTATCATTAAGATCTATACTTAATTTCATTAATATGTTATCATCTATATTCATTATTAACTGTCGTCACTGCCTACCATTATTAACTACCACCCTCCTCCTCAATCATAGTCACCACCATTGTCGACTACCATCACACACCATCCTTACCACTCCCACCACCATCAGTAACGACAACCAGCACTCATCCACCTCAACTACCACAACTAACCACCCCATCACTATCAACAACCATAGCTGGCACTGCCCATCATTACAAACTACCACCACCCACCACCATCTTCCTCGATCACAACAACCACCACCACCCGTCATTTATTAAATATCACCACTCACCACCGCCATCCTCAATCATAATAGCTACCACTATCAATCACCACTAGCTAATACCCTAAATTACCATCAACCACCGCTTTTAGTCGGCATTCACAAGCACTACCGATAGCCATCACCACCAGCAACTATCATATTTTAAAAAGCTATATATTTTAGTGATGTAATATTAGATTAATTAGTATTTTATTTGAATTTTATGTTTATTAATTTTCAATTAAACGTAAATTTTATACATTCAGATCTTAAAAATCAAACAGTCTTAATCATTTAGTATTCAGATCTTAATACACATCTTGACGTTCAGATGTGTATTCAGATTCAGATGTCTTAATCTTAATACACATTTTGATATTCAGACGTGTATTCAAATTCAGGCGTCTTAATCTTTAAAAAAAACAAATGAGGCCTAACTGCGTAAAAGGGCGAATAATACCCCTACCGAATTGAAAATGGCTCAAAAATAATACTCGTTAATCTTTTGGTTCCCAAATGCCCCTAACATTTATTTCTGGGTTTAAACTTACCCGTATAACTAACAAAAGGGTCAACAATATCCCTAACGTACCCCTTTGAGCCCAAAAACAAACGTTAGGGGTATTTGCGGACCAAAAGGTTAACGGGGGTATTTTTTAATCATTTTTAATACGTTAGGGATATTGTTGCCCCTTATGTTAGACATAGGGATAGGTCGGAGCCAAAAAACAAACGTTAGGGGCATTCGTGGACCAAAAGGTTAACAGAGGGTATTTTTGAGCAATTATCAATACGTTATGGGCATTTTTTGCCCTTTTCCGCATTAATTATTTATACTACATAATTAAAAAAAGTCACTCAAATTTTACTTTTGAACTATCTAGTGGGCGTTAGGACATAAGAATTGTAAAATTCAAAAAAAAAAATGAAAAAAAAAAAATTCAAGTGAAAATGGTATTTGAAAATTAGAGTTATGTTTGGACATGAATATTTTTTTTGGTTGTTTTTAAAGTTTTGTGAGTGATTTGAGTGAAAATTTTGAAAAATAACTTTTTGAAATTTTTAAAATTTTCAAAAAATTTTAAAATTCATCTGCAAGTGAAAATTGGAAATTTCATGGACAAACATTGATTAAAAAAAAAGTAAATTTTTTTCAAAAAAAGTGAATTTTTTCATATGTCCAAACGGGATCTTAAAATGGAATAATTTGTCCTCTGTTTAAAATTAGAAAAAGTACTCTTAATTATAGACATTTGAGCAAAGAAATGTTTCTTAAATACTAAAAAAGTTAAGCACTTAATAGATCATATCACTATATAATTTAATTTTATAAACGGACTATTTATCATCAACTTACTATAATTTTTACTTTTTTTTTACTTAGAATCCCTTGGTAGTTTAGGTTATAAGCTCTTAGAATAATCTTTTAATAAAAATTTTTCAAATATAATTGCCGTTCACTATCAAAACTAAATTTTTTTCAGAACTTATTTTTATATTGTGTTATAGTATATGTCTTTTATAACAACACTTTATTATAGCAACAAAAAAAAACCAAACAAACGAAATTGTTATAGAGAAATTTGATTGTACGTAAGACACCATAAAAACTAAAAAAATATATGCAGTCCCACATATTAGCAGAACAAATACTAAATAAAACTATTTTTATTTAAGATGTTTAGGTTTCTCATGTTTCCATTCCATAACCGTATGAAAACTAAGCAAACAATTGGAGGAATCCAAAAATAATAGGGGGTATTCTTGTAAAGTAACTTAAAAAATAAAAAATGTAAAATAGCATCTACTATAAATTGTCTTCCTAAAACGAGGGAATTCAAGAACAGAGAGAGAGAGACTCTCTCCGCAAACACTTTCCAAAGCAAAGCGTACTACCACCGCCTTCTTCTCTCTTCACCATCAACTTCAACACTCAAAAAGAACCCAAATTCACAATATTCTTCTGAATCTGGTAAACTCTTTTTTTCTTCATTTTTTTCTGTTATTTCCCACAAAATCTTGAATATACTACCTGGCGGGAAATAAAAATCTCAACTTTTTTCTGTGTCTAATGAGATTAATATTGATATATTTTAATTGGTAAATAAAAATCTCAACTTTTTTCCATAATGTGATGCTTATTTATTTACATTAGTATCAGTGCCAGAAATGGTGTGTCTTGATATGTATGCAATCACGAACAGTGAATTTGTTGGATGCTGTTTTTTGTGTTTTTTTTTCATTCTGATTTTATCATAGGGTTTGCGTCTTGTGTATTTTTTTGGGTTTATGCTTTTCAGTGTAATGCTTATTTACTACATTAGCATTAATGTCTGAGTTGTTGTCTCTGTATTGGAACATATAGTAGTGAATTTATTTGTTGCAGTTTTTTTTTTGGGTTCTATAAATCTTGAATTTGTAGGGCTTCTCTCATGTGGGTTTCCTGTTTATTCTCTGTAATGTAATGCTTTTTATTTACTTACAGCAGCATTAGTGCTAGAAATGTTGTGTCTTGGAATATATGCATGTGTATGTATTCTTTGCATTTTTTTGGAATTCGTAAATCTTGACTTTTTAGGGTTTCTGTCATGTGGGGGTTTTGTTTTTGGTGTATTGCAGGGTTTGAAAATGCCGCTATATAAAAGAAAGCCATTTGCTTTGGTGGAAAAACCAAAGGATTTGAAGCCTAATGACCTCGTGTTCCAAGTTCGTTTTACTAAAGAGATATTTAAGGATTATAGGTAACCCTTGAAAGTCATGATTTTTATTGAAATTGATGATATTTTCTTTTTTATTTGTGGTAATATTCTGATATAATGAAATGTGTACTTTGCTAAAAAAAATGTAGTGAATATCTGAGACGGATGAACCTGTATCGCCATAGAGTATGGTCATGCAAATCGACAGGAAAGAATAACTTGACTTACGAGGAGGCATTGGTTTCAGAGAAGAAGGCTGCAGAAGAAGTTCAGAAGTTCCCCGAGGAACTA